TTTAGGTGCACTTTAAATCGTGGAGCAATCGGACTTGGTAAATATCGGCGAGGCGATCTCGTCGCGCTTTGTTCTCGTCGATCGATTTGTTTTCCTTTTCGTCTCCGTTCGAAAACTCGCGTTGTCGCGCGTTTCCGCGGCGCGCGACAATTTTTTCGCGAATATCTCCTCGATTCCAGTTGAATCGCGGCGGGGCGGGACTAACCCGTCGATGATCGACGTCCGATACGAGCAGACGGACCAATGACGAGGCGTGACGCAGCAACGTCGGCCCGACGATCTATGACGCGTGTCGTTTCAATGTAAACGTCGCCGGCACGGGCCGAAGATCTCGCCTAATCTGCGACGATTTCCGAGCACGAGCGACGATTTCTTGCGAAAACCTGCGCAGAAAATCGCTCTGTTTTCCCGGCACGCTTGTGTCACCGCAATAAATAATTAATCGGCGATAACGGGGCCGCGAGTGGAGCGACAGAGAGCGAGAGAGAGAGAGAGAGAGAGAGAGAGAGAGAGAGAGCGAAATAGAGAAAGAGAGCGAAAGAGAACGTAAGATAGAGAGATAGAGAGGGAAAGAGAACGAGAAATAGAGAGATAGAGAGCGAAAGAGAACGAAAGATAGAGAGATAGAGAGAGTGGGAGAGAGAGAGAAAAGAGCGAAGGAGCAAAATAGAGAAAGAGAGCAAAAGTGAGCGAAATAGAGAGAGAGAGAGAAAAGAGTGAAAAAGCAAAATAGAGAAAAAGAGTAAAAGAGAGCGAAATAAAAAGAGAGAGAGAGAGGGAGAGCGTGAAATAGAGATAAAGAGCGCAAGAGAGAGAGCGAAATAGAAATAGAGAGAGCGAAATAGAGAGAAAAGGAGAGAGAGAACGAAAGAGCGAAAGAGAGAGAGAGCGTGAAATAGAGATAAAGAGAGCAAGAGAGAGCGAAATAGAGAGAAAAGGAGAGAGAGAACGAAAGAGCGAAAGAGAGAGAGAGCGTGAAATAGAGATAAAGAGAGCAAGAGAGAGCGAAATAGAGAGAAAAGGAGAGAGAGAACGAAAGAGCGAANAATAGAGAAAAAGAGTAAAAGAGAGCGAAATAAAAAGAGAGAGAGAGAGGGAGAGCGTGAAATAGAGATAAAGAGCGCAAGAGAGAGAGCGAAATAGAAATAGAGAGAGCGAAATAGAGAGAAAAGGAGAGAGAGAACGAAAGAGCGAAAGAGAGAGAGAGCGTGAAATAGAGATAAAGAGAGCAAGAGAGAGCGAAATAGAGAGAAAAGGAGAGAGAGAACGAAAGAGCGAAAGAGCGAAAGAGAGAGAGAGAGAGAGCAAAAGGGAGAGAAACAGCTAGCAGCGCACGAGCTCCATTCTTGTTGCCTTTTCACGAATTTAAAAACCACTTATCGCTGTTTCCTTCTGGCACGAATGTCGCAGGATCGAAACAAATCGAACAATTTTCCTCGCGATTTTCTCTCCGACGCGTCCTCTTCCAAAGAAAGAAGAAGAAGAATGTGGAAATGCCGTTTCATTCGCGCCGAATCTCGGAATCCGAACGCCGATAAATACAGTAATTTTTCCCCAATTCGCGCTCGGATTGCGCACAACAATGGACTATTTTTGGGAGGAGAAGATGCGATCATAGTTACCGATTGTCGACGAGAAAGAAAGGGGAAAGGCGTTCGGCAACAGCGAGCGTAAATCTCGGATTAAATTAGTGCATAATATGCAATATCGATGGATTCTGAATCTTATAATTTCTTCGAGGACCGTAAATTTCTGCATTTTGACATTTTTCCACGATGTATTTGCATTTCTATGCTAGTAAAATCGAAGATAATTACAAATACAGAAAAATTCTCTCTAATTGACGCTCAGATTGCGCACAAAAATGGTCGATTCGAGAAGAGGAGACGCAATTATCCGAGCCTTTTCGGCTCATTTTTATAGTTATTGACGATCGGTACTTATAAAACTAATAATCGCGTATCAAACAATATAATAACTAACATAATAATAATAATATAATAATAATCGAATAATAATAATAACATAATAATCGAATAATAATAATAATCATAATAATGATGATAATAATAAAAATCTCCTCTTCCCAAACTGACCACTTTTGCGCGCAATCCGAGCGCGAATCAGAGAAAAATTGCTATAATCGCGTTACGCACAATTTCGCGAGGATCGAGGCCGGCTCGCATTACGATCCCTGGATCCCCGGATCCCGCGATCGCGAATCGATCCGTGATCCGTCGGCCGTGAGGCCTCGCGATATATCACAACCCGGTCCTTGGTGACCTTGGTGACCGCGTTTTTGTCGGGCTGCGAGCCGAAGAAAAAAGAAAAAAAAAGCCGGCCGATAATTAATCTCGGAATTATCGGGCTAGCATGAGCGGTCGGCGCCGAAAATTCATAGAGATAGAATTTATCGTTCATCGTTGTCGCCGAAAATAAATCAATCCGACCGAGCGTGCCCGAAAGATCGTTTCATTCACGGCTCGACGCCAGGGTGTTGCACACGCTCGTTTAGGCTCGCGACGAGCAGCCGCGAAGAGGATTTCGCGATGCCCGGATACGGTGCCCCTTTATCGTCGGACGCCCGCGCGATTTCCGCGAGCGAAATTCGCGCGAAAATGTTCCGTTCGCCCGGTGAAAAAAGCACGATTTCCACGTCGAATTTGCGCGCGATTATCTCGCGCGCTAGCCAAAAATAAAATATCAGCGGACGCGTTTATCGGCGGAATTAGATAAACGCGTTTCAGGACACTTTTTTTTTTATGTATATATCTCTCGTTTCACTGCGGATTTTATGCATTCGTCGAAGAGGTGAATAGGTCGAATTCGAAATTGTCGCGACGTTAGGATAATTTTGTATCACTTTCGATTCGTTACGCCCGTCGAAAGAGCAAACATTATTTCGACTAACTCGCGTTTATTACGATTATATCTTAAACAATATTTATTTTCCCACAATGATCCGCTAATTGCATAAATATATTCTGATATATTGTCTACGAAAATAATTCTATAAGTTCGAAAATCAATTTAACACATTGATCACCTAATTACCACCCCGAAAACCGTCGCAACTAACAAAATCGTTCAATTCAATGCACGGCGCAGTAACCGCAAATCCCGCGAAAAATCTCCGATATTCTCTCATTCATCGAACCGAAGAACGTAAGACGAATCCGACGTCGTAACGTCCTCGCGACGACGTTCTCCGCGCCGTTATCAGCCGCGGTTCGATCGCGGGAA